CTTATTCCTCATTGTTTTCATTCTAATCATCTTCCCCTTTTGTTTAAAAATACGTTAACTGGTACTTGGTGTATGGCAATAAAATTAAGACAAACATTTTGCAACATTTATTAAGTATTTGTTGCTCATACTAGTGCGTTTTAAATTTTATCACTTAAGAATTCAGTTACATTGGTATTGTATGTACATTCACATCAGTCAGGAACATCGTTTAACATTTAACTATATAAGATAAAGCAGAAACATTATAGTATAGTTATAATAAGAATAAACACTACGATGAACAGCTTATACAAGGTATAATTTCGAAAAGCTTGTAGTGGTTTAATAAATAGGTTTTAGTAAACTTTTAAAATACTCTAGAATGCATCTACAGTTATCATAAGAATTGTTTAACAATTTGAGTAGATATTTAAATAAATACGAGTGAAATAAGCTAAAGACGTTCGATGCAGATAGATAAGTACAAACTTGCGTGTTTATACACAATACGTAGCTTGAGTTTGTCTTCAAAATTCGAAAAGAGCAACAGTGAAAACACCATCTCATATTATTTGGAACTTTTTGATATGAAAGTTGATTGCAGTCTTTTTTCGTTGAAATTCAAATCATTAAAACAGCTTCGTAATGAAGTAAAATTGCAAGAGCTTATCTTGATTGAAATTTTCTGAAAAATTTTCAGGATTGTCTACTTCGAGAGCAAATTTATGTTTTCTGTTTCCTATTGGATAGCATTTGTTATTATTTTCCAAAAATGGTGTCATTTCTGTTGTTGGCCTCTTTGTGATTATATCATTATATTATTAAAGTAATAATCACAGTANGTCCTTCATGTCTAATTTTTAAACAGTGGTGAAGTGATAAAAAACATTTATCATGCATCCATCCATTTACCCATGTTTGGATTATGTTTGCATAAAATAATTATTGACATTGATTACCATACAAATGCATTTCGTCATTTACATTATTTACAATGACATATTTACAGGACATTAAAGGGAAACACAATTACCTTGGAACAAACGTACATTGAACAGAGATCAATAAATTGTGTAATTTTGTAAATAGCCGCGCTTAGCTGTACGTAGACTCAATATAACATCGAAAACTATAATAATGTATAATTGGACAATTCTGAAAGCCATTGTTTAATTTTCGGATCTTTTCATTTTCTTATGACCATTTGGACGGTTAATCTGGTAAATTATTGCTTTAATGCCGAATATAATGTATTCATGAAGATACACATACATTATAATATATCAATAAATTTCATTGAGAATTCTGGTGGAGGCGCCGGGACAATTTAAATAAAACCTATAGTTGAACTATAATTCGGGGTTTGTTGAAGTAAATTTATAAATTTGAATGTTTGATACACATTTTTCCATGTAGATGCAGTAACAGATGCAAATTTGTCGTTTTAGGGTAAATTAAACTTAAATTTGTAATATCTTATATAGGCAACCCAACACACTTCAAGTTTCCACTCTAGTAGTGTAATCACAGAGAAACCTAGAAAACTGTTTTTCCTCGGGGAAACACTGTTTTATGTGAAACTCAATACTATTTTCGAATAAACCACACACTATTACGTAAAAATAGTTAATTAATTAGTAATGTTCCTAAAGACATCTTGTAAAATTTAGTTCAAAATCCTCGCACATTTTTATTTAATGCTGTTAAAAAGGGTAAATAAGTAACTAATTACGAGTGTTTAGTTAATGTTTATTATAAACTATTGTTTTAGTGACGCAAATAAAACATTCGTGGAGATACACAAACAATGTTGGCAATTATTAATAATTATTAGTGAAAATATTGGTGGAGGCGCCGGGATAATTTAAAATAAAATCGGTAATTGATCTATAATTCTGGTTTTATTGAAGTAGATTTATTAATAAGCATCTCTGAAATATATTTTTTCTATGCAAATGCAGAAATAGTTGCAAATTTGTCGTTTTACAGTACATTAACCTACAATTTGTAGTATAATATATAGACGACCCAACATACAGCAAATTTTCACTCTAATAATTAACTACAAAGAAAACTAGGAAAATGTATTTCTTGTGGAAACAATTGTTGTACGTGAAATTCAATATTATTCTCGAAGTATTATGTAAAAGTAGTTAATTAATTAGTAATATTTTTAAAGACATCTTGTAAAATTTAGTTTAAAACCCTTACAGATTCTTATTTAGAGATATTAAAAAAAAGATTTAGTTACTGATTACGAGTGCTTAGTTAATTGTTAATGCAAACTATTGTTTTAATGGCGAAAATAAAACATTCATAAAACTACACAAACGATTTTAGCAATTTTAAAAAGTTTATAGGCAAAATTTGGGTGGAGGCGCCGGGACAATTTAAAACAAAAGCTATAAATGTGCTAGAATTTCGATTTCATTAATGTAGATAGATGAATTTTCATCATCTGATTAGATTTTTGCCCTGTATATGCATCTGGGGTTGTTAATTTGTTTTCTTTTTTTACAATTAAATTACAATTGTTTGTAAAATTATACATACGTGTATATAACCCAACATACATCAAATATTACAACTCTAATATTGCAAGTATAAAAAAGGTTCAGCCTTTTCAGCCAATTTCAAGTAGTAAATAGATGTTATTGTTTGTTTATTATTTAATTTGGATGATTTTTAGAGAACATGACGAAAATTAATTTTCGAGTTTTAAAAATTTCGACTTATTCCTCATTGTTTTCATTCTAATCATCTTCCCCTTTTGTTTAAAAATACGTTAACTGGTACTTGGTGTATGGCAATAAAATTAAGACAAACATTTTGCAACATTTATTAAGTATTTGTTGCTCATACTAGTGCGTTTTAAATTTTATCACTTAAGAATTCAGTTACATTGGTATTGTATGTACATTCACATCAGTCAGGAACATCGTTTAACATTTAACTATATAAGATAAAGCAGAAACATTATAGTATAGTTATAATAAGAATAAACACTACGATGAACAGCTTATACAAGGTATAATTTCGAAAAGCTTGTAGTGGTTTAATAAATAGGTTTTAGTAAACTTTTAAAACACTCTAGAATGCATCTACAGTTATCATAAGAATTGTTTAACAATTTGAGTAGATATTTAAATAAATACGAGTGAAATAAACTAAAGACGTTCGATGCAGATAGATAAGTACAAACTTGCGTGTTTATACACAATACGTAGCTTGAGTTTGTCTTCAAAATTCGAAAAGAGCAACAGTGAAAACACCATCTCATATTATTTGGAACTTTTTGATATGAAAGTTGATTGCAGTCTTTTTTCGTTGAAATTCAAATCATTAAAACAGCTTCGTAATGAAGTAAAATTGCAAGAGCTTATCTTGATTGAAATTTTCTGAAAAATTTTCAGGATTGTCTACTTCGAGAGCAAATTTATGTTTTCTGTTTCCTATTGGATAGCATTTGTTATTATTTTCCAAAAATGGTGTCATTTCTGTTGTTGGCCTCTTTGTGATTATATCATTATATTATTAAAGTAATAATCACAGTAAAATTACAAACTTTTCATGCATTACAAATTACAGATTCGTAATAATTTGGTTTGTTTTTGACCAGCATTGAATTTTGGTCAGTAAGTCAATTTATTTAGTCAATCCATTTGAGCTAGTTAATGTTGAAATGCCACCATTTTGGAATTGACAGTACTCTTAACTTTCTGTATATAGCTCAATAAAGTATATTGTAGGTACCTACACGATTTGAAAGTGTGGAAGATGATAACAAGATACTAAATACTATGGGCAATTATCTACAATTATAAAAAATATCAATTCAAAATTTTCTGCCCAAAAATAATGTATACTTAATACATTTAAAGACCACTTAACAAAATATAGACATTTCAGCAATTTACATTCAACATCAATATTGGACGATAAGATATATTTAAATAAATGTATTATTAAAACGTTAAAGTGTCTTAGAAATATAGACAAATATCACGAAACAGTGTTTGTTAAATTACTGCAATAATAGCAGTACAAAATTAAAATGCACAACCAATTCATTGTTTAATATTGATAACTTGTTAATAATTTAATTAGTTGTCTAGTTTCTTTTAAAATATGTAACAACATTGAGATTCATTTAATTAAAAAGTATCTAGTTAGTAATAAGTAATCAAACGTTTTCGTCAATTTAATTGACATTGATATTGAGTTATAGTTAAGTATGTTGATAGTGTATATCATCCAGAGACATGGCGACCTGTAGGTAGCATAATCAATATCCATCGATCCATAGGGGTGACCTCTCTATTAATGCCTTTAACATTTTAAAAATCGTGAACATTTACTAAAGATTCGAAATACAAATTAAAATTTCAAACATTCTGTAGCAAAGTGTTGTAAATGACAATCACTTGATAGTATTTTTGCCTGTTGTAGTTCTGAAATCACTCTTTTGTGTAAAATGCGCTGTCAGGTCTCCATGTCCATATTAGCATCATTTAAATCACCGTAGATGGAATTACAAAACAACTAAAACGCATAGCTGACAAAGATACTTTTATGTGTTTCTCCCGCGCTAATTCACAATTTATAAAAATTGTTTACCAACGTAAACTAATGACGAATGAAAGTTATATTACTTCTTGTTCGGTTTACAGTAACATCTCTGGTGAAAATGACGGTCCTAACATAACAATAGATAGTAGATACATCGGAGCCATCTTGATCTCTCTGTGTAATAGCAAATGGCTTCATACTATGCATTGTAGTATCCATTTATCTTTTCGATAATTTTCATGCTCATTCAAAAAACCGTATCTTTGTTTAACTGTCGTTAATAATTCATTTTAAACACTAATAGGTAGAAGTGTAATTTGGTGTCACATTTTATTTATATCTCTTTCTAAAACTACATATTAATCTAAATAAGTTATTGTGCTAAATATGAGTTTGGCAACGCTTTTATATCGAAAAGAATATATTCACTTCGTAGACATTATTGTTTGCCAATTAATTATTTTTACGAAGTCTTTTCTACCTTCATACTTTGGATTTTTCCCTAAAGGCGCTATTAATGTTTGTAAAATTTTCCTTTTAGATTTTTGGCCTTCAGTGGCAGGCAAATTGACAATTAAATGATAAAATATATCGTTGATAAACAATGCCAACTCATAGCATTTATTGTTTTCCACGTTTAGAGTTTTAAATTTGAATTTCTATCCTATTATACTCTTTACTTATTATATCCTGATTTTAAATTTTAAGGATAATTTAATAAATTAAAAATTGTTTGAAAAAAATTAGGTACTTATAAGANACTCAAGAATATATATATATACATGTATCCCTTTTATTTTAATCTTCTAATAATTACCCTGTCATAAAGGGCAAAAACCCTTTCGATGTCGTCTTTGGTAAGTTTCGTTGCTCCCTGAAAAAAATTGAATAAACATTAGTTAAAAATTCATGAACGGAACATAAACATTAAAATGAAAAATATAACAATTTGGATATTGAAGGAATATTGTACTTTACAACAAGGACATGCAGTAGAATGAAAGCAGGCAAAAAGAAAAACGGTGCGACAAAGCTCATGTTGCTTTCCATCCCTAAAGAAAGCAAAAAAACGTCTCAATATAGATGTAGATGTACCTAGGCAAATTATATCATTACCTATTTTATTTTTATTTCTATCATTTAGTTCACTGTAAAACTTTAAGACAAATGTTTCTTTCGAATTCTTTGACGCCTTATGGACGGAAAGGAAAAGATATAAATTTTCATTTAGTGAAAAGTGTTTACAGACACTTTGATTGTTCCTAGAGCGTTTGTCGATTATTATTATTATTAGATATACCGTATGCGAAAATATCTATTTTGACATTGAGCTGTAATACGCCACCCACGTCGAAAGCAGTAAGGGCGGCACAACATGCATACTGACTGGGTGATGTTAACCAAGTTAAAGGTTCACTTTTTCGCAATCGGTATAACTATGTGTATTTTTAAATGCTTGCTCGCAATGGTTACTCGCTCATCAGTTCAAAATAGTTTATTGTTAATAGAATATTTATAAAAATGGTCTCGACTGTTTTTCGAGGACGAAAGCATATTGGGACTACTTTAAAATGAACTCACTCTTTTCATATTTAATTTAAGAAAACAGCACAGTGAGTGTTCGGCTGCAGAAAAGGCCTCTAAAGCACGTGCGAACACCTTGTATATTAAATGATGTATTATACAACGCTAATCGAGAAATGCTGCAGGTGCTTCACTATTCACTCACGACCAGCTCAATTAGTTATCATAACAAGTTTAAATTGTACTTACTTCAAATCCTTCCTAAGGTTCAAGCAACAAATAAAGCCGTGCAATAATTAATTAGAAATGGTATTTTTAGCACAAGTTTAGTATTTGGGTCGAGTTTTTAGTTTGTAGTGTTTAATGGGTTGCATGGAGCTAGCCAAACTTTGGAAACTTAACATTTACAAACTTTGCTGATACTTAGACTCATCTAATAGTTAATATATTCGATGTTTAATAAGTTTAATCCTTTGGATTACTTAATTATTGTAAGCATGGCTATATTAACGTGTTCTTCGTCAATTTCAGCAGTATCTTGTAGAAAAATTAATGGGCATTAAAAAATAAAATAGAATTTTGATTTAATACACAGTGATGAAGTTGAAGCATTGCTAAAACTGATTAATCAATCAGGAATGGTATATCTCTTCTGTCGTATCTACATTAATTATGAGAGTTTCAGAAGTTTAGCTAGCGCCACTGAACTTTATTGTTGCGCATAGTTTTAATCTATTGCTAAATAAGTGCAACAGTGGCCAAAAGTGCATCAGAGATCAGGGGAAGTAATATAAATTACGAGCAAATGTCAGACATTACAACTTCTACGATAGCAGAGAGAGACAGATTTATTTGCTTTATCGACTTTTACATAAGAGAAGATCTATGTAAAGTGTTAAGAAAAGTGTGCAAAATGCATAACCCTTAGATGGGCCATATAGAATTGGTATGAAAAGAACGATATCATTTTATCGTCTACTACTTTGTATTTAATTAGGTTCACACACGTGAAGTAAAATCAGAAGAGAATTATACATTGCAATTTTAAATCTTTATATGATTAGAAAATACTACAAAGGCGTGGTAAACGCCATCTGTAGTACGATGCTACATTTTAGGATTACATATGCTCCAACAAAGTCCACTTGTGTGGATATCTACTTGCTGAAACGAATCCCGGCGTAGCTCACCTCAACGTGATAGGCACGTTACCATAATCGAATAAAATAATTCGAGGCATACGTAATATATATAACACTCAACTGTGTTGTCCCATGTAGGCATTTATAATTAATCTGACAATATTGCAATATCTCTCCCTTTTATGGTAAAAGTAAATAAAAATATTTTCAATCACGTATAAACTGTTGTAAATGGGACAAGTTTATAGTAATTATTTTCTTTTCGATTATTAGTAGGATAAACATTTAGGTGTTGAAATAAAAGTTTATTGCTTAAGCTGACGGTTCCTCCTCTTGATTATGCTTAGCAAGTGCCAAAAGGATCATCGTCAATTCTTTTCTGTTTATTTTACCATCGTCATTGTAGTCCACTCCTCTCAGAATAGTTTCTTCAAAATCCAAAAGGTCTTGAGCGTCATAATCCTACAAAATAATTGCTTCAGTTTGAATAACACTCTTTTGTTACGTTCTTTCCGAACCTTCTTAACCAATTCAAGCAAATCTTTCAGAAATCCTCTTAATTCCTCATTTTCTATCGTCCCGTTGTTATCCTGTGAGATAAGAAATATATACTTACGAATAAGACTGCGTATTACCACAGAGAAATTAAAAATTTACTAAAAATACAAATTTATATTGTAGGTACCTACACGATTTGAAAGTGTGGAAGATGATAACAAGATACTAAATACTATGGGCAATTATCTACAATTATAAAAAATATCAATTCAAAATTTTCTGCCCAAAAATAATGTATACTTAATACATTTAAAGACCACTTAACAAAATATAGACATTTCAGCAATTTACATTCAACATCAATATTGGACGATAAGATATAGTTAAATAAATGTATTATTAAAACGTTAAAGGTGTCTTAGAAATATAGACAAATATCACGAAACAGTGTTTGTTAAATTACTGCAATAATAGCAGTACAAAATTAAAATGCACAACCAATTCATTGTTTAATATTGATAACTTGTTAATAATTTAATTAGTTGTCTAGTTTCTTTTAAAATATGTAACAACATTGAGATTCATTTAATTAAAAAGTATCTAGTTAGTAATAAGTAATCAAACGTTTTCGTCAATTTAATTGACATTGATATTGAGTTATAGTTAAGTATGTTGATAGTGTATATCATCCAGAGACATGGCGACCTGTAGGTAGCATAATCAATATCCATCGATCCATAGGGGTGACCTCTCTATTAATGCCTTTAACATTTTAAAAATCGTGAACATTTACTAAAGATTCGAAATACAAATTAAAATTTCAAACATTCTGTAGCAAAGTGTTGTAAATGACAATCACTTGATAGTATTTTTGCCTGTTGTAGTTCTGAAATCACTCTTTTGTGTAAAATGCGCTGTCAGGTCTCCATGTCCATATTAGCATCATTTAAATCACCGTAGATGGAATTACAAAACAACTAAAACGCATAGCTGACAAAGATACTTTTATGTGTTTCTCCCGCGCTAATTCACAATTTATAAAAATTGTTTACCAACGTAAACTAATGACGAATGAAAGTTATATTACTTCTTGTTCGGTTTACAGTAACATCTCTGGTGAAAATGACGGTCCTAACATAACAATAGATAGTAGATACATCGGAGCCATCTTGATCTCTCTGTGTAATAGCAAATGGCTTCATACTATGCATTGTAGTATCCATTTATCTTTTCGATAATTTTCATGCTCATTCAAAAAACCGTATCTTTGTTTAACTGTCGTTAATAATTCATTTTAAACACTAATAGGTAGAAGTGTAATTTGGTGTCACATTTTATTTATATCTCTTTCTAAAACTACACATTAATCTAAATAAGTTATTGTGCTAAATATGAGTTTGGCAACGCTTTTATATCGAAAAGAATATATTCACTTCGTAGACATTATTGTTTG